AAAGTCTTGTGCTGTCTGTTTCTTTATGCAGTCTGTCTCATACTCAATCTGCAGATCTTTTTTCCTGAGAAATCTCATTCAAGAAGATGTGAGTAGAGAATCATATGCTTCTATTCCATCAGCATGACTGGACACTCTAGACAGACATGTGATATAGAGCTTGATGATAGCTACTTTATTAGAGTGTCTCACTAGTGAGTGTCTCTTGTCAAGCTTTTTGATTCTTACTGCAAATACAGCACATCAGTTGTCTAGTGTCTCTTTCATTGACATGATTTCTAGCTCACAGTGTAGAGCTGAAATGAGTGTGATTTTGTAGACTGACAGTGCCTCTCACAAAGCATCTCTAAGAACTAGATCTAGCTTTCTGACTAGACAATTCATTCAATTAAAGATTTTCTTTTCCTTCTCTATTTGTGTGACTTCAGGTCATCAGGCCTCTGCTTCATAGCAGAGCACAGAAAGCACACAGATCTGAATGAATTGTCTAAGCAGTTGTACTGAGGCATCTCTTGCTGTGTTGCTTAGTGCCTGTATGTCATTAGACACCTGTTATGTCTTAGCTGTCATGGTCTTCATGTGTTTCTTGAAGCTCAGTTTTCTATCTAGTCAGATTCCTAGATATCTTATGAAGCTTTTCACTGCATTTGCTGTAATAGAGTGAGTGTCAGATGTTGTTTTAAGATCAATTGAGAGGTTTGAAAGAGTTCTGTGCTGTGTGAAATGTGCTATCTCAGTTTTAACAAAATCAAATGTCAGCTCTTCTTTGCTGACTCAATCATTTAGCAACTTGAAATTCTTCTGAAGAGTAACAACATTCTTTTCAAGAGTGATTTCAGCACTAAGCAGTTCTAGATCATCTGTGTAGCCTGAGCATGCACATCTTCTTTGTATAGTTTCTAGAAAGAACAGAGACTGAATAAACAGCATGAATAGAATAGATGAGACTGGCAAGTCTTGTAAAAGTCCTGCTGAGATATCAAAGAGCTCTTTCAGGAGTTCATTCAATCTGATTCTGTCTGTGTGTTCTGTCATGAAGCTTTTCACTCATCTAATTAAATTTGATGATCAGTCTTGTTCTTGTAATTTCTGCAGCATTCTTTCTCTGAGTACAGCATCAAAAGCACTCTTGATGTTCAGAGTAAGAAGAGAGACTACTTTTTCATGAGCTCAGACTTCCTCTATATCATGAATCATCAATGCCACTAGATCTGAGGCAGCTCACTCAGGGAGGGCTTCAAAATGCTGAGAGTGAACAATCTTCTATTGTATAGCTGTTCAGATCAGTCTATTAGCTATCAGGCATTTCAGTCCCTTTCTCAACATTGAGAGAAGGACTATAAGTCTGTAGAATTGTGAGAGTGTTGAATCTCTGTTGACCTTAGACAGCACAATCAGTATGACATCTTGAAAGAAGGTTGAATGTTAGTCAACTCTAAAACAGACTCTGAACAGTCTTTCCACTGATATCTTAATATGTGATCATGCCTTTTGTAGTATCTCTATTGGCACTTCATCAGTTTCTGAAGTGATATTATCTATGTTCAGCAGAGAACTTTGTATCTCATGTTCTGAGACAACAGGAAATGATAATTTGACTGATGATGAGTTGAATCAGCTAACTGAGATATTCTCTCTGCTTGCAGTCTTCTGTAAGAGCACTCATTGCAGAAGATCTCTTTTCTCTCTAGAGATTGTTCACATTCACCTAGTCTCTTCATCTACAAGAGAAGGGGAATGAAAGGAGCCAGTTGAATGAGCTCATTTAATCATCTTAAAGATATCTTTCTCCACTGAGACCTCTGCTATCTTGTCTCATCAGTATTCTCTCTTGACTTTTCTGATGATTCTGACTATGTTGCTTTTTGCTTCTCATAAAAAACTAGAGTCTAGGTGCTGTGCACAATGTAGTGTTGTCACTGCTTTCTGACAGTTCTCATTTCATCATGACTGACCTGTGCCTTGCTCAGTGCTCTTCTTAATGAAACTTTTCAGAGAAGCTATTAGTGCATCTGTGATATCTTTAGTCAGGGCATTCAGCTGATCTGTATTGAGATACTCTGAAATATCACATAGTTTGTCTAGTTTTGACTTATAGACCTTCAGTGTCTGATTAAAGACCTTCTCATTCATGATGTTGAGACAGAAAAAATGAGTTGATCTGTCAGACCTTGTGTCCTGTGGAAGGCTGATTTTGATGAGAAGAGTCTGATGATCAGAGAAAGTATAAAGAAATCTGTCCACCTGTATGTCCACTTTTTTGATAACTAATTCCAAGGTGGCCCAGGCCAGGTCTATCATGTTATGCTCATATGTGAAGATGTCTGAGTCCATGATGAGAGTAAAGTTGAAATTCATGATCCATTGCAGGAATGATTCTATCTACATACTTGGAGACACTCCTGGTTGCCACACAGAGTGCTTGATATTGAGGTCACTAGCAAGGAGCAACAGAAGTGCTGAGACAGATCAGAAGAGAAAACAGCTCACATCTTGTTCAGAATCCTCTGTGCCTGAGAGTGCATTGTATATGTTGACTGTCTGAAGCTGTAGATCTCAGATCTGTATGTGCAGCATGTGAATGTCTCAGTTTTCTGCTCAGAGGCCTGAGACTGCATGAGCATGAATTTGTGAGTGTTTACACACATAAGTGAGGACCTGTGACTTTCTGTCTCACTTTTCAATTGAGGCAAAGCAGTTGAATGCTAAATGCTTTTTGAAGATGTGTTGACTTAAGTTCCTGTGAATTCAGAGTTTCTGTATGAGAAGAATGTCAGTCTTTCTTTCAAATGCTAGATTGAGAGCTGTCTCATGTGCTGAGTCTTCTTTTTCTACATTGACTTGCATAATCTGCAGAAATTGCAGAGATCTAGAGTTCTTCTTCATTGAGTAGCTGAAAGGAGAGTGTTGTTGTGTGAGATGATGTGTTGAGTGTTGCATTAGATGTTGAATTGAGTATCATGCCTAATGCTGTGTCTGATGCTGTGCTTAATGCTGTGCTTGATGCTGTGTTTGATGTCAGTGTGAGATTAGATCTACACTCAGTAGAATCATTCAACCTCAGGTCTGCTGATGACTCTCAATCATCACATTTGCTGTTACTTGCCTTGATCAAGTATGTCTTACTCTGTGCATTGCAGATATTTCTCAGCTGATTTCTTAAGTGTCTTTGAATAGTCTCATTCTTTATTTCTGATCTGATGAGGCAGTATGAATCATCTGCAGCATGTGATTCAAGATAGTTAGTGCAGTGATTGAGACATTCACATGCTTCATTCTTCTTATGACAGAATGAATTTTCTTTTACATGATTCTTAGAACTGCATTTTTTGCAGTGAGGGACATGAAGACAGTATCTCTTTTGATGAAATTCTCAGCATTTGCTGCATTGTTGTATTTTAATCTTAGATGTCTTTCTGATCACTGATCTTTAATATTCATATAGTTTCACTTTTGATGACAGATTTACTGCTGTCTCTTGTGAAAAGTGTAATATAAGAGTGACTGTTGAGTTTTCAGAGTGTATTTTTGCTCAGTGACTCTGGACAGACTTGATTTTGATTTGAAGTGTAAATTCTTCTGTCATAAATTCTGCTGAGAGATGCAGAGTTTCATCATCATAGTCACTAATCTTCATGAGCAGCTTAGAAATCAGACAGATGATTCAATGTTCTTTCTTCTCTATTTAAGCATTGATGAGAGTGGCTGCTAAAACATTCTTTTGAGCTAGCAGGGTCTTCATGTCTTGCAAGCTTATAGAAATGATGATAATGCCTGTGAGGATGACTTGAACTGCTGTGATGACTGCTGTCAAAGACTCTAGAAGTTCAGTCTTCAACTTTCTAAGAGTAGCAATTGAGCTTGCTTTGCAAGCTAGATGATCTAAAGGTAGACATGTAAGAATTTATGATGTTTTTTCTTCTCTGGAGTTATTTCTAAGCAGAGGTTTCTGCAGTATAATTGCTGATGTTTTTGTTATATTGATGCTGTCTGCAGCTGTCTTTGTATAGATAAGAGCTCTTGCATCATTTGCATCAGTGAAGCCAGCAGGCTTGATTGTGATGAACTGCTTAGCTGTTTCTAGACTTTCATTGTATCAGTTCTTGACTAACATCTTCACAGCAGCTCCAAGGGCCAGTGCTCTTGATAGGTCTTTTGCCTTCATGACATCTAAGTCTTCTTCAATCTGATCAAGCATATTTGCAGCAGCTAGTGCTTCTGCATGGGATTTCTGTGCCTCAGCTTCATGAGCAGCTAGGAGATCACTAGCCATCAGGCCATGTAGATTGAGGTGAATTGATGCAACATTTCTGCTCTTTGAGCTGCCTGCTGGTGTAGGGGAGCTTGAAGACTCCATGTCATTCAGTTCACATGTGCAGCAGGTGATTGAGGTGAGGAGATGGAGTCTCTTGGATGGACAGTGTATGAGGGAGCAGATGCACATCAAGGCTCAGGACGCGTTCAGTGGTGTTGGGGGGCTGGGTGCACTGGCGGTGCTGCGTCAGCACACCATCAGGCTTGCTGCCTGAGGGGATGGGAGAGAGCTTATAGGGATGTGATCAGGATTGATTAAGATGTTTTTGTATAACAGTTCTGCCTGACCTTGTTGTTGTGGGTTGTTGGTGGGCCTTCTGCATCTGGCTCTGGAACCCGTTGATGCAATGCAATGCACCCGAACTCACGGGATTTCCTTCAACCACTTTCAACTACTTCTTGCGGTGTCACGTTAGGGACCTGATTGCTGTACCCGTTGTCCCACTGTCGGAAGTTCAATCTTTCCGCAGCAGAAACCTGGGATCCTTGAAGTTGCGGTGACGGCATACGTTGCAGTGCACGCCAGTTTAATTCCGATCCTAACCACTTCAGATACGGTTCTCTGCTGTGGGTTCATATATGCTCCTGAAAGCTGTTGAGGAGAAACTGTTCATCTTTCTATTTCAGCGTCCTGGAAGGTCCAGCTTGCTCTGAACCTCTAAATGGGATGTTGATATCACCGCATTATGTCAAATCAATCAAATGACCACTCGGGAGAACTACAACTTATTCACTCTGTGGTTACTCTTGTGATCGACCAACATTTAAAGACGCCATCGGGACCCACTCACCTAGGCTTGGCTGGGGTTCTCCACAAGAGCTCGTTGCAGAAGAACGACTGTTGGAACTTCTGGAAACATGAGACTGGAAGAAGGAAAATTGTTCTGTAAGCTGTTTAGGATTAATTACTGAGATATATCCTGAATCCATTCATTTTAGACACTACAAGGCTTCTAACAAATTCATTCTCTACTCAATCAAACTCTGACCTGATAGCTGCAGGTGATCAGATCAACAAAAGGCATTTGATACCAGAGTTGATGCAATATCCCAAATGACTACACTTGGTCAAATATGCTTTAGTGCAGGCCAAATTCCAATAAACAATTACCTCAAGCAGAAGGGATTTCGGGAGGGTGTTTACCGACATCCCAGTGGCATTTCCAGCGGTTTGCTTACCACACCCGTTTCCATCGTGATTACAACTAGACTTGAAACCAGGCAACGTGGTCGCGAATATACTAAGAAGGAACCATTTGTCATACATTCAACGTAAACGGAAAAATCGGTATATCGTTATTCACTTCCATTATTGTAAAGAATTACGTGGCAGCGCGGTAATTATTAAATATAGAAACCACAATGTGATCTGATTAAGCGAGAGTTACAAGCAATTATTAGTTAGTTAGCTAGAGAGCATAAGCCAAATTACACGCACAGAAATACACTACGCCCAAACCTATATAGACGGCCAACTTCTCTAGGTGTGCGTGATGCCGGAAATTTTCTGGTAAAGAATATATCCGAGGAATTTCCATTTTTTTGCTTTGAAGGGTATATGTAATTTTTATTTATACTATATAATATGAAGTTAACACTAAAGGGTGTGTTGGAGGATTCCCCGGCTACCCGAGGTCACGTGCACCTATATATTTATTAGTTGTAGCTAGCTCGCTTAGAGTCCCATAATAAAGAAGGGAGTAATCGGTCCTCTAAGAGGGTGAACGCCTGGAATCGTTGTTCTGATAATTAAACTTTAGTTAAACCTTAACTGAACCTCAGCTGACATAGACAATCTACGTAACTTGGAAGTCATTTCATCATCATCCAGCCAGCAACATACGGAATAAATCAGCAACAAACATCTTATCTCCATCATCCTGTCCAATACTTCAACATATCTCATCCCCATCTATATTTCCTAGCCTTATTTTTTTATTCTCGTTCTTTAACGACTTGTATACCTGCCACAACATCCAATATCATTCCCTGCAAGATTACATCAGGGTCTCCGAAAACAATGAAGCTCCCTGCCTTGCTCACCCTGGGTGTCGCAGCTTCGACAAAGGTTTTGGCAGCGATTGTTTCAGATCAAACTCCCCTAAATGATGCGAAGAAGGACGAACTCCCTGAGAAGTTCCTGATTGAGGTCGCTCCCGGCGATACACGATGGGTTACGGAGGATGAGAAATGGGAGCTGAAACGGGTACGTTTTTTTCAACATCTGGTCTCGATATGGCCTCTACTACATGCATGCACTTTGACATGAAGTTGTTGCTGATCTTCTGTACCTTTCCCCGCTACAATAGGAGGGCCTCAAATTCTTCGATATCACCACAGAGGCCGAGAAGGGTTTCCTCCCGAAGGCATTCCCTACACCAGCCGTTGTTAATTTCCCAAGCGAACTTAATCGAAGAGCCGAAGTCAAACAATTAGCAATGAAGCTATCAAAAGAAAACATGTTCAACCATTTAACCAACTTCACCGCTTTCCACACGAGATACTACAAATCCATGATCGGCATACAATCAGCGACCTGGTTGTTGGAGCAGGTGCAGAAGACTATCAATGATTCTTTAGCAGTCAACTACGGAGCGAAGGTTGAGACGTTCAACCATTCGTGGGGCCAGTTCAGCATCATCGCCAGCATCCCTGGCCGGACTAATAAGACTGTGGTAGTCGGTTCGCATCAGGACAGCATCAACATGTACCTGCCGACGATCTTGGCAGCTCCCGGTGCAGATGACGACGGCAGCGGAACAGTAACTATCCTTGAAGCTCTTCGTGTCCTTCTTAAGTCAGACGCGGTTGCGCAGGGAAATGCGACAAACACGATTGAGTTCCATTGGTATTCTGCTGAGGAAGGCGGCTTGCTGGGGTCCCTGGCTGTGTTCTCCAGGTACCAGCAGGAAAATAGGGATATCAAGTCCATGCTTCAGCAGGACATGACTGGGTATTCTCAGGGGACTCTTGATGCCGGTGAACTAGAGTCTGTGGGTGTGATTACGGACTACGTTCATTCTGGGTTGACCGAGTTTATCAAGAAGATCGTAACAGCGGTAAGTTCATTGCTCACATTTCAGATAAGAAAACATAATTCTATTTAAGTAAATCACTAATGATTTCCTCTCTTTTCTCTAAACAAAACAGTACTGCGACATCCCCTTCGTCCTTACAAAGTGCGGCTATGCGTGTTCCGACCACGCCTCGGCCAGGCGATTTGGCTACCCATCCGCCTTCGTGATGGAGTCGAAATTCGAGCATTCGAGCCAACTAATCCACACCGTCTGGGATACGGTCGAGTATCTCGACTTCGACCACATGCTGGAGCATGCTAAGATGACCCTGGGTCTAGTTTATGAGCTTGCATTCGCTGAGCTATAAACCAAAACACAAACCCTACCTAGAGTATAGATATTTACATGGTTCCCTTCTCTTCAAATTACCTTTATCCATACCCTATGATGACTGGAAGGAAGACCCAACATTCTCATAGGCACTCTCGAAGTGGATTATGGCACATGAATCTACAGGTATGCATACAAACACATAATGTCATGCGCACACCGTTGACAACTACAGAAACAAAAAGCAATCATACTTCTTATCCTGACCCCAACCTGAGACCTGACTCAGGGTTATCCATTCCACAACAAAGTCCAATGGCACTAAAACATTAGAAGTGACATGGCGCGTGTACTCTTGCAACCCTGGGAGTTCTCAAACATGTTCATTGCCTTTAAAAAAAATTTCTTCCTCACATACCTTTAAACCCTTTTATTAATAGACAAGAACAAGAGCTTCTGCGTTTCCTCCTGGAAAGACGATGTGATGCGGAGGTGACGCTGAGCATGAATGAAATACCTGACAGGAACTCACTGTCGTTTCTTTTCTTTTCTTTTCTTTTCTTTTTTTTTTTTTTTTTTTTTTTTTTTTTTTTTTTTTTTGTGACAAACGATACAATCAATCAATAGGAGTCGAATAAATAGAATGCATGGAGTTTAATAAACTTTATCTAAATAATTCAAGCTAAGTTATCAAAATTGAAAGTATTGGCATTATTATCATGACATCTTCCTGCCATCCCTCAAATTCCCTTTCCCTACCGTTTCTGCGACACTTAGAGAAAAAGTAACATGGCAGCCTAACGCCAGATCATCAAAAACAAAATACTGCTATTAAGAGTAGACACCAACTATGCCTATACTAACCTAGGTTGGGATAAATTATGCAACGGATCCATGCAATGATGCATTGTCCCGCCAATATGCACTCTTGTACTCCATACTTCCCAACAATTAGAGAAAACGTCATTATAGTCGTTATTTATGAGAGAGAAAGATGAGGGAGACTGGGAGATGAGAATCCTTTAAGGATCAACAATGACGCGAAGATGAAGATTGAGGATATAGGGATAGAGATATATTAGATGATATGTATGAAACTACAGTATGTATACTTGAATGTTTATGAAGTGGAGTAAAAATATCTCGTCATGTCAATCCATAAAGTGCTTGTAACTGACCATACAGATACAAAAGAGTCGCTCCCCTGGCCATAGTCACATCGGCACTGTCACCTCGACGCAAAGGGGAGACAAATAAAAGACAAACCCTATAACTCTATACCAGCCTATGGAATATCCACGACCACCCCTCTCAACTCGGTTTAGCTCTTCTTAGCTTGTATGTACCACTACATCCCGCTGCATCCGTATGTTGTGAAAAATGCATCCCCATCCACATAGGCACATACATCTATACATTCGTACGTCGCCTCCAAGGCTCCCTGCTTCTCAAGAACCTCTTGTTTCCCGCTATGCGACGCTGTCAGTAGTATCTAGGAACGAGGAACAGTGACCTAAGGTCTTAAAGAGCTAGAAACTAAATAAAATTCCGCCCGTCAATCACTATAAAATCCTGTTACCAGCTGTATCCACTCCTCAAGAGTTCGTTCAAGTTTCAAGGCGCAGATGGAAAAAGGGTCCGAATGTACTTCGGTAGTGGTGTCCACAGAAAACAATAAGATGCAATAAAATGCGGGGGTGTTGCTTGAACCCACCACCCATGCTCCATGAACCATGGATGGACCCCATGGGGCATGTTAAGCAGGCTGTTATTGGCTTAAGCGGCTTTTGTTTTTGGGTTAAGGGTTTTTCGTAGGCTTCCTTCACATGTAGCCCATCATCCCCACGAGTTATGATAAAGATGATATATATAATAATCACTAGAGGATTTGACAGAGGATGTACAGGTACGAGAAGGGAATATAATGATCAACAAAACCCCGTACATACAAATATAAAGGAACTGCAGCTTCCCCGCAGTCAATCCTTGAGTTACAGAGTTAACTCAATCAAGCATTCCCCTTCTCTCTCCTCCTGCTCCTTTTCCTCATCTCATTTCCAATTCAACTTCAACCTCATCTCATCTCATCTCCTCAACTTCATCCAATTCTCTTCTCTTCTCTCGATCCTGTTCATCTCTCCCCATCGTTCATCCCCGCACTGGATGTTGTCTTCCTTGATTGCATGATCAAGCTTCCGACTCTCTCCCAAGGTTGACTTTACTACCCGTAGTTAACTTCCACATTGCGTCATCGGAAGGTACCTTGCCTTGTGTCACAAAACCAGCATCAAGGACTTAAGAATCGGTCCAGTTTGCGAATTCCAGTTCTTCGGTTTTTACTGTTGATTTTAAGACTTCCTTTTATTAGGCCAATCCTTGACCTCCTCTGATCGAGTGCCCGCCATTTTTATTTACATTTTACATTCTTCACTCAACTCCCGACTGACTGTACGCATTGTTGAAATAAAGCCACAACCCCTTTATCAGCCAATTAAGCAATGGCGGACAGAGTACATCACTGTATGTTAATATATCTTATACCCTTTCCCACTTCTCATTTTACGATAATTGATATATCTCCCTATGATTTAACTAGACAACCCCTTTGCGAAACGGGAGACCCATACCAGGAATGCCTTAAACGCTTATCGCATCCTGGCTCCCCTCTCCTGGCTATTAGTGGTTGTCGTCGGCATCTTCTATTCCATCCACAAGCCAGACGATGTCGCCCACGGACATACAGTCTGGGAGCAGACACAGAAGCACCCCACCCCGTTCTCGCAGAGCTCAGTTGTGACTGGAATCTTCTGGTAAATCACCTTTCATAATTGTATTCCACATTAGTATTTCCCAAGACAGACAAAGGGGGAAATAAACCATCAGCATCTAACCTGTCTTCTAGGATCACCCTCCTAATCTCCCAACTTGG